AAGTCGGCGGTGTTAGTGTCAGCTACAAAAAAGGCAGTGCAGGTGGCGGTGGTGATGGTGGAGGTGGTGGTGGTGGTGGTTGAGCAGACGGATGGAGCGAGGGTGGGGCTGGGCGTGGTGGATGTGTTGGATGTCGTGGGCGTGTCGGAAGTGCGGTCAATGCCGCTCTCGTGGATGCGCATGTGGCCAAATAGGCCCATGCGATGCGTGATGGTGCGAGGGCAATGTGGGTAGTGGAGGCGAGTACGGTGAGTGAAGGTTGGTGCTCCAGGCACTGGTTCGCCAGTCTCTGTGCGATGGATTCGCAAGTGACCGACCAGGCCGATGTGTGAGGTGAAGGTGGGGTCGCAGTGAGGGCAGGTGTAGTCCTGGTCCTCATCGCTGCAGTCGGGAGAGGTGGGGGTGGTGTCTGTTGTTGTGTCGCGGTTGGTGATGTGCGAGACGACCGCCTGAGCGGCCGCCGTTGGGGCAGTGATGGAGGAGGAGGAGAAGGAGGAGGATGGAAGTGGTGGTTCATAAGAATTGTCAGAAAGCACCATAAGAGGGCACGTTCCGCGTGCTCGCGCGCAAAGCCAAGGCCTGCCGGATTCTTCGCGGTGATAAGGAGGACGTGGTCAGTTTCTATCGTGTCAAGGCTGCTGTTGCAGAGGCACCACCGCACCCGTCACAAGGACAATAATGTGCTGACCTCATAACACCAGTTCCTCCATCTTCCCTATCCTCTGCTCATTCACACTGCCCACTGCCTCGCCCTTTCCCTCCCTTGCCCTCCCCCCCTCCGTCCCGCATGCTTCCCCTCCCTACATGTCTACAGCATCCAAATACAACATCATCCCGCACCATAGCACGCAGTCAACCCTCTTCGACTGTACCTCCTGCTTACATCACTTGCAGTGGCCGTCACGTGCATTTACCCGATCATTTAGTTACGCATTTTTTCTAGACTTCTGCATATCCACGGACGCCGTATTACGTCGCCTTCCGATCTAGTAGGGTAGGGGAACTGTGGTGAGGTACAGGACTAATTTACCTTGGACAATTCAGTCCCGTTTTATTTGCCTGCATTGCTTGTCTGAATGCGGCGAATTACAACACACCTGTACAACCCGACTTGCTGGCCTGCTTTGCTGTCCTGCTCTGTTGTCAGGTTACTTAACGTTCAGAATCTCTAAACTATTCACTGCTCAGTTTTACTTGCTGACTTTAAGGCTAGGGGCTCGTGAGATATAACTCGTTAGTTGGTGAGAACATTACCATTTATGTCACACAGTCGCAGTTTCCCATGGGCTGCCTGAATACACCACAAGCACCACCACCACCACCACCACCACCACCACCACCACCACCACCACCACCACCACCACCACCACAACTGGAATGCACAACATGAGTCATTCGAGCAGCTCTCCCCGGCAAATGCAATACTCACCAGTTAGACACCGGTTCAGATTTTCGCACAAACCTATAAAGGCAGCCCTCATCACTATCTTACGAAATACCGGCCATGACTGGACGCAGCCAACACCAGTCCTGGCTTCACCAGCGGTCACTTTCGCCTGAGAAGGCAGCTTGGGTTGCGGTGTACAATAAACCCCTAATTCTGACAACTTCTCTTTTTTCCTTAAACTCGGGGTTGGGCCTAATGATTGTAGCGCTCTGGCTACACTCTCTCCGCTTAACCACTACATACTCTCATTTGTCAAAGTGTGTGTGTGTGTCTTTAGATACCAGAAGCGGTTGACAGAGGACTCTGAACGGACGATTTCGGACCACCACAATGACCTCTAAGGCGCATCTCATCAGTCACACTTCCTTTCGTATATTCTCACACAACCCCCTCTTCACACTGGGTGGCTCATATGACATCTTATTTCTTACTGCAGTGACAATGCTGGAGATTGTGCAAAGGGCTCTTTATCTGACGATATTTTGGAACTACTAGTTGACGGAATGAGGAAAGTTGCTGTTGAGGTGGACAACGGCTCTAATCACAAGGCAGTTTGGCATTCGTGCGATAGTTCGTGCATATTCCGAGTTTGTACACGTCTTTCTTGAAAGGTACATCCACTATCAGCGTAATCAATTCTGATTCGAAGACATAACTTCGATTAAGCAGGACTGTTACAAAAGTAAACAGCAATGACTGAGATTATGATCTCAAGCTTACATGAGAGTTAACAAATGAATGTCTTCGACAGAAAAGACATCAGTCGAGAATTCTACGAAGTTCTATAGGTTGGATAATGGTATCCTTCGATGGTATCCCCACCCCCCCCCCCTTCACTTCCATACCACTCGAGTTGGCAAAGCAATACACAGGAGAACTACTACAGTCCTATGACAGATTTTGCAACATCTTCCTACCTTGAACTCTTGGATCTCTGTCTGGAAACGAACTTCTCATTGCCACAAGAACAATATCAACAGCTAAATGGAGTCCCTATGATGTCACCCATTTCTGGTTTCCCAACCGAGATCACGAAGCAAATTAGAGGCCACGGCCCTACCACTAGTTTTCGCCCAAATTATGGGTACGCTGCGTTGATTAAGTCGTTTTTTATAGTTAAAAGGAACCAACTAGAAACGCTGGACTGCGTTATTAACTCGCCATTAACAGGAATCACCTTTAAGCTCAAAAAAGAAGTTGATAATAAACTGAAGTTTCTTGACGCAGTCAAAGTTAACAACCGCCCCAAAAATAAACATTAGCGGATGCCACTACTTCCACGAGATTTCGGGGCTACATCAGCCTCTCACCTAATTCAGCCACTTGGGTGCGATGACGCACGCGACTGGCCGCGCGATCGATATGAATGTGCCATTTGAAATGCATACCAAATCGATCCTTCGTCCTCGTTCCTGGCACTGGCAGTTAGTCTGCATCTTCACGATGATACCTGCGGATGTGCTTTGGTTCCTGGTCGGTATTTTCAAAAGACAGCTAGCGCATATCGTGGCGTTTGCGGCAGTTTTGCAGTTCGCAGTAAACTGCATCGAAGGTTGTGTAGTTAAAGCGAAGTCGGGCCAATACGTCGCACGTGAGTATGCACTGCTTTTCGCCATTTTCTCTTGTTTAATGCATTTTGAGTGTCTTTACACCGACAACACTTACTGCGGGTCATCTTAACTCTTGCCAGGCTATGATGTGTGTTCAGTCGGAATATTGTGATGTGTACGTCATAATGTATGCAGGTAGACTGGAAAATGGGCATCCCAGAAGGCATAATTCGACGAAAACAAGTTCTTTAGGAAGGAGTAAGAGAATTTGTCATATAAATGTTCGACACTTCGTCGTCAGATGTGAAGTTGGTATTTCGAGTCTGTGTACATTGGCGCAGTCCACAGATCTCAGCTATGTTTGATTCAGGATATTTGGCCCTCTCCTGTAAAACGCTTAAATGTTTTTTCCAATTCTGTGCTGAATTCTGCGTTTTGGTAGGGTATGCGTTAGGACGGCTATAGGTGGATTTATCCTGCAACAGTAACAGCACCTATTTGGCGCAGTCTGCTTTGCACAAATGACAATTGAGCCTCCTTTGTCCGCAGGAAGAATGATGTTGCTGTTGTCAGTTTTGAAAGCTTTCTTCATGCGACAGTACTGAAGAAGTATCTCGGTTCTTCGAGACATGTAAATAGTTCTTTCGGATTGTGAAACGTGCATCAACTGCAAGATTATCGTCTGATATGTTAGATCCCAGGTTCTCAAATTAGAAGCACAGGTATCGTATCCAGTCGGCCTGGCAATTATAACTATGCAATAGACCGCAATACCTCTGGCTAAGCTTTTATCCTCTTTTAGTGATGGCTGCGATTTTTGGCAGACTTCGTCTCTATCAGCCAAAGTATAGGCTGAAGATAATAGATGAAGAGGAAGGTGGAGTGCGGAGAGGACGGTGAGTTTCAATTTGTCAGCGTTTTCTCGGTACACCAATTGTAATATCCCAAGCGAGATATCATCAGAACTTACTCGTGATTTTAGATCCATAGGAGAATGTTCGAACATTGAGGCCGGCACCTACAGCCCACCTTCGGAGACAAATCCGCACACAATGAACACGATGCGGCTGACCGAGGGAAATGCGACGGCACCTGCGGTGTCCACAATGATCACTGAAGCGTATGTCACCTACCATGCTTGCATCCGAACATTTGCACATGCATTATTTGTGCATTGATTTGCTAACGCACAATCTTGTCTTTGCAGTGGTGACGTCGTTTATAGGCTTGAAGGGGATATTTTGGACGTGGAACCGTCTGAAGTGAACACTAGCGGCCAGGCCAATGTCGTCGTCGTCGAATCGGGCGACGGTGAGGTGTACAACGCAGGTTGGTCTTCATGTCATCAGATCGTACACATTCCAACTTTGTATGTGTCTATCCTCAAATGTGCATTCATTACCAACGTACTGTTTTCTGTTTAGCGGACGCCACTGTCACTAAAACAGAAGCAATGGCCACTGAGGAGGACAGCGGTGAGTGAGAGTTCCATATCAAATCTGACGTCAGATTTGGCAAATGTAAGACTTAGAACGATCCCGTCCTTGCTTGCAGAGTCCCATCTTACTGCGCGGAAACCTAGACGACGAGTACGCCTTGGTCGGAGAATCCGACGACTATTTCGTCGTCTTAACTGCTGTGGAACCGCGACCGTGCAGGACTGAAAACCTTCTCCCTCAACCGCCCGACTTCGTAGATTACTGTATTGCATCTCGAGAGGACACTGCATCGCAGATGATTAATCTCTTTTCTTGTTGTTAAACTTACTTATATCCTATGTACTTTGCCCCGATCAGATCTATTAAGGATGCGTTTACACAGTCGATTTCCTCCCCACGTCTTCTAAGCCTATTCTCCCCCCCCCACCCGAGATACTTGTAATTTAAGATTTTCTGAGTACTTGTGATTGTACAGAATTTCTTCATATTTAATCTAATAAACAATTTCGACGATCGGCTTGACCGAAATGGTCAGTTGTCTGATTAGGCCTGAATTGTCGGCAAATACGGACTAGACGAGAATGATGGGGTCCGAAAAGAGTGGGTAGTGGTAGAATTCATCGCGCGCAGACTTGCTAACCAGTGCCAGGAAAACTAACATACACTAGTGCCTCTCGCCTCAATTGAATATTTAGCCAATCAAGAGAACAACCTATCAGCCAGGCCGTGGATCCCCACGTACCATAGGTGACAACACTCCAACACACCCCTCCTCATAACGTGCATCTGGTCCCAGGATTAATCAAATGGATGTGATCATTGTACATTACGATGGGTGAACAAGTGTAATTCGGTTAAATGCGGTTATGTAGCCGCACCTGAGATAAACAAACCCCAGCCACCCGTAATGCGGGACCGGTGGTTGTAGGTGTTTTTACAGGTGAGGTCGGGTGTAGGATGCTAGAGTGCGGTGTATTCAGCGAAAGTCCACTTTTCCTGTGTGTGTCACCGTCCCTGGGCGCGCCCTGTTGTGAAGTATACGGTGGACATCGCCCATTACAACGGTCGCGCTGTCGGGTGTTGGAAATAGGGGCTGTTCCCTTGTCCTCTAACACCCCGTCCCGCATACATCCCCACCCGACATGTCTACAGCATCCAACTACAACATCATCCCGCACAATAGCAAGCAGTCAACCCTATTCGACTGTACCTCCTGCTTACATGACTTGCAGTGGCCGTCACGTGCATTTCCCCGATCGTTTAGTTACGCATTTTTTCTAGACTTATGCATATCCTCGACGCCGTACTGCGTCGCCCACCGGTCTAGTAGGGGGGTACTGTGTTGAGGTACCGGACTAATTTACCTTGGACGATTCAATCCCGTTTTATTTGCCTGCATTGCTTGTCTGAATGTGGCGAAAAACGACGCACATGGCTAACCCGCCCTGCAAGCACGTTTTGCTGTCCCGCCCTGTTGTCAGGTTACTATACGTTCAGAATCTCTAAACTATTCACTGCTCAGTTTTACTTGCTGTCATTAAGGTTAGGGGCTCGTGAGATATAGCTCGTTAGTTCGTGAGAACATTAACATTTATGTCAATACGTCGCAGTTGTCCATGCGCTGCCTGAATACACCACGACGACGACAACGACGACGACGACGACCACCACCACCACCACCACCAGCACCGCCTCCTATGTAGCTGACACCGACAGCGCCGAATTCGCATGCCCACACTGTCCACGCATATTCACCTCATGCATCGGCCTGGTCGATCGTTTGCGAATCAATCGCACAGAGACTGACGAACCAGTGTCTAGAGCACCAACCTATACCCACCAAGCTCAACTCAACTGCCCACACTGCCCTCGCACCTTCAGACATTCCGTGGGCCTATTTGGCCACATGCGCATCCACGACGACCTGCGGTAGACAACGGCCGGTCACACCACACATTCACTCACTCCCTACCTTCCAACACCATCACCCCACCAGACATCAACACTCACACACCACATGCACCCAACTGCCGCCTCCCACGCAAGCGGGAAGTGTGCATCTCGGCTCTGTCCCCATGCGGCCTCGGCTGCACGGGCGACTTGAGTCCGAGACTATCCCGACACGTCAAGCGTCGTGGATAGGAATGTTGCTAATTGACACCCGCAATCGGTCCACGCAGTTCGTCGCGTGGTGTGCGTGTTGTGTGTAGTGGCGGACTGGTGGGTTAGGAGGCGGGCTAAATCAGCTCCTTCGACGGCCCTCTCACGCAAGTGGGAGACACGCCGTTCAACCCACGTTGTGTGAAATCCTGGTGTTTGTGTGTGTATGAGGGGCCAGGTCGTGCTGTGGCGCGCGAAGGCATGGTCAGTCGACCGTGTCAGCCACCGCGCCCACACTCCACTCCAGTTTGCCGACCGCCTCGGACAGTGGCTGGGGTGTGGGAGTGGGAAGGGAGAGTGAGGTCGACGACTCAGCGCACTTTCTCCTCACTATGATCAATCTGATGCGCTTGAAGCTATCACGGTGCGCTAAAAGCCGTGGCTTGGAAGGTTGCCAACTGACGGGGTACCTTGGACCTCCTCCTTAACGGCAGGCGGTCTAAGAGTCAGGCTGCAATGGCTCCTTTTTAATGTGGCCTTTATGGCACTCCTACCACAGTGTGGGATCCGAGCAAGGCGTTGGCGGCACGCCTAGGTGCGGCTTCGGTCGTGCCAGCCTCGAAATCTCTGTTGTGTTGGTTGAAAGCCTGGTTATTGTTGTGTGGACCAGGGGGTGTGGTGGAACGCCAAGGTGAGGATCCGTCCGAGCCATCCACCTGCGGCCTCTCTCGTCTCCGGTCTTCTTGATTCTGTCTTGACACCGGGCCCAGATGGGGGGAGGAGGAGAGTGTAGGTAGATGCAGCGCAAGTCTACCCGCACTATAAACCCCTGCGCAAGTCACCGTCCCTGGTCCCACCTTCTGTGGGACACACGGTGGACATCGTCGAAATCGACGGTCGAACTCTCGTGTGTGTGTGTGTGTGTGTCCTCTAAACGGACCACGTGTTAGATGCGCTGGACCAACACGGGGGCCACATCGGACTCTGGCAGGCGTTATCTGTGCGCAATAACAAATGCCAACATTTGCGGGGTGCGCTGGCGGACCCTGTTGTCGGCATTCGTCGCTCAACTGGACCACTGCCGCCACCCCATTGTTTTGTGGTTAAAATCCTGGTCATTTTTTTGTGGAGCAGGGGGTGCGGAGTGGAGCGCCAAGGCGAGGACCGTCCGAGCCATCCACCTGCGTCCTCCTCCATCTCCGGTCTTCTTGACTCTGTCTTGACACCGGGCTCAGGCGGGGAAGGAGGAGAGAGTGTAGGTAGATGCAGCGCAAGTCTACTGGCACTATAAACCCCTGCGTAAGTCACCGTTCCTGTTCCCACCTCTGCAATGTGACATACGGTGGACATCATAGAAATCGGTGATCGAACTGTCGAGTGTGTGTGTGTGTGTGTTTGTGTGTGTGTGTGGGGTGTATGGGTGTCAGCGGTGGGTTCACGTGAAGGTCGTAGTGGTCGCTCACTTGCCTGCAGGTGAGACTACGCCTAGCGTCCACGTGCTGGCACTCAACTCTCACCTGTGGCTCCAAGTAGCTGGGCTCTGCTCATCGGCCACACCCCGGGCAACCGCCTCGACCGGCGGGCTAAACCTGGTGAGGGCGGTTACTCCCTGTGCGCGTTGTGCCGCGTGCACAGGTGACTGCGGACTCTGTGGACGGTTGGTCGGATGGAACACCGCGTCGGCGCCGTCGTGACGAGGCTCTGTCTGGCACACCGCTGGTCAGCCGGTTGGTGGTGGAACGTCGCATCGGCATCGTCGAGACGAGGCTCCGCCTGGTACGCCGTTGATCAGCCGGTGGGATGGATCTCCGAATTGACACCGTCGACACGCGCCAATTTGGTGCAACGTAGGAGACCGCAGGCTTGCGGCAATGTCGTAAGCCATTGGCAAATTCGAGTCGTTCTTCCACTGCCAAAAAAACTCGTGGCCCACAGTGGAGTTCGGCCGCGCCGGCACATCAAGCAGCCCCTATTCAGGGGTCAGGGCACTGCTTCCTTCGGGGGGGGGCCTGGAAAAGCTGGCCTAAAAATTGCTGGGGAACCACGTCGTCTGCTGGCGCACCGTGGTCGCAGACGCAAAACTCACGGTCGAAACAATCAAAGTCGAAACAACAACAACAACCATACTCATTCTCCTCAGCCTACCTCTTTTACCTCTACCTCCGTCTATTCTTCTGCCTATCCTTCTCCTTCGTCATCTTATTCTCCATCTCCTTCCCGTCGCCCACTCGTTTTCCCCAGACTGACAGGGTGAGCCCGCTCACTCTGGCAGCCTGGAATGTTCGTTCCCTTTTAGACAATCCGAGGAACAACCGACCGGAACGGAGGACGGCGCTAGTGGCACGAGAACTGGCGCGCTACAAGGTGGACATCGCCGCACTCTGCGAGACCCGATTCTCCGAACAAGGCCAACTGGAGGAGGTGGGTGCCGGTTACACCTTCTTCTGGAGTGGTCGACCCAGGGCAAAGCGACGAGACGCGGGTGTCGCCTTCGCCATCCGAACCGACATCGTGGGACGACTGCCCTGTTTGCCGCAAGGAATCAACGACCGCCTGATGAGCCTCCGCCTGCCCCTCCGGCGAGGAGGCAAGTTCGCCACCATCATCAGCGCCTACGCTCCGCCGATGACCAGTTCCGACGCCGCCGCAAGAGACAAATTCTACGAGGACCTGCACGCCCTCTTGGCGACTGTGTCGAAGGTGGACAAGTTGATTTTCCTTTGTGACTTCAACGCCCGCGTCGGCACAGACCATACTGCCTGGAGGGGAGTGCTGGGTCCCCACGGTCTCCGCGGCTCCAACGACAACAGCCTGCTTCTCCTCCGCACCTGCGCAGAACACCGCCTCACCCTGACGAATACCTTCTTCTGTCTGCCGGAACGAGAGAAGGCCACCTGGAGGCATCCTCGGTCGCGCCAGTGGCACCTGCTGGACTATGTCCTCGTCCGGAGACGAGATCAGCGGGACGTGCTGGTGACGAAGGCGATCGTGGGTGCTGACGGGTGGACCGACCATCGCCTCGTCATCTCGAAGATGCGTGTTCGCCTACAGCCTCGTAGGAGACCACAAGGTAAGCGACCCCCAGGTAAACTGAATGTTGCTTTGTTGTCTTTGCCTGATCACCGTCTCCCTTTCAGCAATGAGCTAGCTAACGGCTAGACAACCTTCCTATCGCTGCCGCCGCCGACGACGCCGCCGCCGCTGCCGAGAACGCCTCCGTGGAGAACCGCTGGTGTCAACTGCGAGACACGATCCAGTCGACGGCGCTCGCCGTCCTCGGTCGCGCTCCCCGCCAACACCAGGACTGGTTCGACGACAACGACGCTGCGATCAGCAATCTGCTTGCCGAGAAGAACCGCCTACACAAAGCCTACGTAGATCACCCCACTGAGGACAACAAAGCTGCCTTCTACCGCAGTCGCCGACAGCTTCAGCAACGACTGCGCGAGATGCAGGACGCCTGGACTGCTCGCAAAGCTGAGGAGATCCAAGGCTACGCGGACCGTAATGAATGGAAGAACTTCTTCTCCGCGATCAAAGCTGTCTACGGTCCGCCGACGAAGGGCACTGCTCCTCTCCTCAGCGCCGACGGCAGCACTCTCCTGACTGAGAAGACGCAAATCCTGCAGCGATGGGCCGAGCCTTTCCGAGGCGTCCTCAACAGTCCTTCCGTCATCTCCGACGCCGCCATCGCCCGCTTGCCGCAAGTGGCGACCAACGTGGACCTCGACCTCCCGCCATCTCTCCAGGAGACCATCAGGGCCGTGCAGCAACTCTCCAACGGGAAAGCACCCGGATCGGACGCAATCCCTGCCGAGGTCTACAAGCACGGCGGTCCCCTACTGATGGATCACCTGACTGCGCTCTTCCAGGAGATGTGGCGTCAAGGTGAAGTCCCGCAAGATTTCAAGGACGCAACAATCGTGCACCTATACAAGCGCAAAGGGAATCGCCAAGTCTGCGACAACCACCGCGGCATCTCCCTACTGAACATCGCCGGGAAGATCTTCGTTCGCATCCTCCTCAACCGCCTCAACAACCATCTGGAACAGGGCCTTCTGCCGGAAAGCCAATGCGGCTTCCGTCGTCATCGTGGGACCACGGATATGATCTTCGCCGCCCACCAACTTCAGGAGAAGTGCCAGGAGATGCGGACCCACCTGTACTCTACCTTCGTGGACCTGACGAAAGCCTTCGACACGGTGAATCGTGAAGGACTGTGGAAGATCATGCAGAAATTCGGCTGTCCGGAGCGATTCACTCAGATGGTGCGTCAGCTGCACGACGGTATGATGGCGCGAGTCACGGACAACGGAGCTGTCTCAGAGGCATTCGCAGTGACCAACGGCGTGAAGCAGGGCTGTGTGCTGGCGCCTATCCTCATCAGTCTCATGTTCTCTGCCATGCTGATGGACGCCTACCGCGACGAACGCCCTGGAATCCGCGTCGTCTACAGAACGGACGGTCATCTCCTGAATCACCGGCGCATGAACTTCCAATCGCGTGTATCCACAGCCACCGTGCACGAACTCCTCTTCGCCGACGCCTGCGCCCTGAACACCACCTCAGAAGAGGAGATGCAACGGAGCATGGACCTATCCTCCGCCGCCTGCGAGAACTTTGGGCTGGTTATCAACACGCAGAAGACGGTGGTAATGCATCAGCCGCCTCCCAACTCAGCCACAGCCCACAACGCGCCGCCGCACATCAACGTGAATGGGACTCAACTGCAAGTGGTAGAGAACTTCCCGTACCTGGGCAGCACGCTCTCCCGCAACACCAAGATCGATGACGAAGTCGCCAGCAGGATCTCGAAAGCCAGTCAAGACTTCGGTCGCCTCCAAAGCACAGTTTGGAATCGTCATGGTCTCCAACTGAGCACAAAGCTGAAGATGTACAAGGCCGTCATCCTGCCGACGCTACTGTACGGAGCGGAGACCTGGACGGTGTACACGAGGCAGGCACGTCGAATAAACCACTTCCACCTCAGTTGTCTCCGCCGCATCCTGAGGCTGAACTGGCGGGACCGCATCCCCGACACCGAAGTGCTGGAACGGACGGGAATTCTAAGCATCTACTCCATGTTGAGACAAATGCAGCTGCGCTGGAGCGGCCATCTGGTGCGCATGGACGACGAGCGACTTCCCAAACGACTCTTCTACGGAGACGTCGCGACGGGTTCTCGTCGTCAAGGAGGCCGAATTCACCGTTACAAGGATACTCTGAAGTCCTCCCTGAAGCGCCTGCACATCAACCCGACCAACTGGGAAGAGATCGCCCGCGATCGTCCGACATGGAGGAGAACAGTGAAGACGGGCGCTGCTATCTACGAAGCCAACCACATCGCCGCCGCCAAAGTGAAACGCGAAGTTCGCAAATCAGAACTTCGCCCAGTACGCAACGCCGCCGCAAAACCGCTTCCAACGTGCCCTCGATGTCAACCGACATTCCAGGCACGAATCGGACTTGTTGGACATCTTCGAACCAACTGCTGCTCTGGAACTGCTCAAGCCATCGTCCCCCCGCCCGCCTCTTCCTCATCCTCTCTTCCACCAACTAACTCTGACACTCCTTCTGTATCACCACCTCCATCCTCCTCCTTCTCATCCACTGTCCCAGCGGTGGCCGTTCAGGCTGCCGTCTCACACATCGCCAACCACGACACAGCGACCGAAACCACCCCCACCTGCCCTCACTGCGACCGCACCTTCACCTCACACATCGGCCTGGTCGGTCATTGGCGAATCCATCGCACAGAGACTGGTGAAGCAGTGCCTGGAGCACCAACCTACACCCACCGCACTCGCCTCCACTGCCCACAATGCCCTCGCACCTTCCGGCATCGCATGGGCCTATTCGGCCACATGCGCATCCACGAGAGCGGAATTGACCGCAGCCTTGACACATCCACCCCGCCGAGCCCCACTCCCAATCCATCACCTTGTGCACCCACTAACAACTCCCCAGCCGACATCGACGCCACCGACCTTACCACCCCTCACTCCTCCCCTTCCTTCTCCTCTTCCTCCTTCACTGCCACAACGTCGGCCGCTACGGCGTCTGTCGCCCACGACTTCACCACAGCCGAACCTGACACAACAACAGGCACAACCCCTGCAACCTCCATCATCAGACGTGAGGTCCAAGACTACATCTGCCCTCACTGCGATCGCACCTTCACTTCACGCATCGGCCTGGTCGGTCACTTGCGAATCCATCGCACGGAGACTGGCGAACCAGTGCCTGGAGCATCAACCTACACTCACCGCACTCGCCTCCACTGCCCACACTGCCCTCGCACCTTCACGCATCGCATGGGTCTATTCGGCCACATGCGCATCCACGACGACCTTCGGTAGACAACCGCAGGTCACACCACACATTCCCCCATTCCTTACCTCCTAACACCATCACCCCACCAGACATCAACCCCCACACACCTCATGCACTTAACTGCCGCCTCCCACGGAAGTGGGAAGTGTGCATCTCGACTCGGTCCCCATGCGGCCTCGGCTGCACGAGTGACTTGAGTCCGAGACCATCCCGACACGTCAAGTGTCGTGGATAGGAAGGTTGCTGATTGAGGCCCGCTCTCGGTTCACGCAGTTCGTCACGTTGTGTGTGTGTGTGTGTGTGTGTTGTGTAGTGGCGGACTGGTGGGCTGGGGACGGGCTGAAGCAGCACCTTCCACGGCCCTCTCACGCATGTGAGAAACACGCCGTTCAACCCCCGTTGTGTGAAATCCTGGTGTTTGTGTGTATGGGGGGCCAGGTCGTGCTGTGGCGCGCGCAGGCATGGTCAGTCGACCATGTCAGCCACCGCGCCCATTCCCCTCTCCAGTCTACTGACCGGCTCGGACAGTGGCTGGGGTGTGGGAATGGGAAGGGAGAGTGAGGTCGACGACTCAGCGCACTTTCTCCTCACTATAATCAATCTGACGCGCTTAAAGCTATCACGGTGCGCTAAAAGCCGTGGCTTGGAAGGTTGCCAACTGACGGGGTACCTTGGACCTCCTCCTTAACGGGAGGCGGTCTGAGAGTCAGGCTGCAATGGCTCCTTTTTAATGTGGCCTTTATGGCATTCCCACCACAGTGTGGGTTCCGAGCCAGGCGTTGGCGGCACGCCTAAGCGCGGCTTCGGTCGTGCTAGCCTCGAAATCTCTGTTGTGTTGGTTGAAATCCTGGTTATTTGTTGTGTGGACCAGGAGGTGTGGTGGAACGCCAAGGTGAGGATCCGTCCGAGCCATCCACCTGCGGCCTCCCTCGTCGACGGTCTTCTTGGCTCTGTCTTGACACCGGGCCCAGGCGGAGGAGGAGGAGGAGAGAGTGTAGGTAGATGCAGCGCAAGTCTACTGGCACTATAAACCCCTTCGCAAGTCACCGTCCCTGGTCCCACCTTCTGTGGGACACACGGTGGACATCGTCGAATGCGACGGTTGAACTGTCAGTGTGTGTGTGTGTGTGTGTGTTTGCCCTCAAAACGGGCCACGTGATAGATGCGCTGGACCAACACGGGGGCCACATCGGACTCTGGCAGGCGTTATCTGTGCGCAATAACAAATGCCAACATTTGCGGGGTGCGCTGGCGGACCCTGTTGTCGGCATTCGTCGCTCAACTGGACCACTGCCGCCACCCCATTGTTTTGTGGTTAAAATCCTGGTCATTTTTTTGTGGAGCAGGGGATGCGGAGTGGAGCGCCAAGGCGAGGACCGTCCGAGCCATCCACCTGCGGCCTCTCCCGTCTCCGGTCTTCTTGACTCTGTCTTGACACTGGGCCCAGGCGGGGGAGGAGGAGAGAGTGTAGGTAGATGCTGCGCAAGTCTACTGGCATTATAAACCCCTGCGTAAGTCACCGTCCCTGCTCCCACAATGCAGTCTGTGGGGCACACGGTGGTCATCGTCGAAATCGACGGACGAACTGCCGTCGTGTCGTGTGTATGTGTGTGTGTGTGTGTGTGTGTGTGTGTGTGTGTGTGTGTGTGTGTGAGGTGTAGGGGTGTCAGCGTTGGGTTCACGTGATGGTCGTAGTTGACGCTATTTGCTCGCAGGTGAGACTACGCCTAGTGTCCATTTGCTGGCACCCAACTCTCACGTGTGGCTCCACGTATTTGGGCTCTGCTCAGCGGCCCGAAATGTCCGTTCACATCGAGGACATCTCGAGACGAGGCTCTGCCTGGGCCATCGCAGTAGGCGGCCACGTAAGTGAATCCTCAAGTAAGTGAAATTCGCTCTGCTTTCCTTCCTTACTTGTTTGTTTAAATTCCGTGCCGTTTGCTGATCTTGTTGCCTGCTCCTTACCTGTTAGTCTCTGATCTCTCTGCTAAAAGCTGGACGTTACTGCGCTTGACTTCGGATGATGCTACTCCTTACTTGTCTCACTTGCCTTCTTATTTGCCTGCTTAATTCCCGTGCTGTCCGCTGCTCTTGTTGCCTGCTCTGCGTCTGTTTGTCTGTCAGTCTGTGCCTCTCTCTCTGCTAATAGCTTGGTTTTACTGTGCTTGACTTCGAATGATGCCTTGCTACACCTCCCTGTCAGATGACTGTGTCTGCGTGTCCTTGCTGCAAGTTCCGCAGCGTTCTCTTGTGTGTCTGCTCTCTCCTACTTAACTCCACCCTATCACCACAAAATTCCCACGCTAACTGGGGTCGTTCTCTCACTAACAAAAAGCCGTGGCCCATAGTGGAGTTCGGCAGCCGTCTGGGATTACCGGGGAGCCCCAGTTAGGGGATTCGCTGCCTGCTCTCGCGAGGGGGGAGGGGCTAGAAAAGGTGCCCTAAAAATTGCTGGGAACCACGCTGTCTGTGGGCTGGCCGTGGCCGCAGACAAAACACACACGGCCGAAACAGCCAAAACTGTAGTGCAAACCTGCAGCTCTGTATGGCGTCATAACGAGTGTTGCTCTCATTGCATTAAGGCTCCACGCACCATTCACAAAGCAAGTGTCATTCGCGAACAGTCTCACGCCAGTCAGGGTGAATCGCATAGCAATAAGATCGCCTGATCTTGTGAGGCAGGCGGAGGGAAGGGGTGTGTGGTTGGGTGGGGTTTCGTGCGTGCAGATTGGAGTCGAGCTCGAGTTGTGTGTGTGTGTGTGTGAGTGTGTGTGTGTCAGGGGGTTATCGACCCAGAGACAGGAGGATTGCGCACCATCAACTCGGTCTTCACAGCCGTCTAGCTGCGACTGGTGCTCCGAATCAAGCCTGCTCTTCGCCTAAGCTCCATGTAATAGCAGGCGATTCGGAAGGTTATTTTGAACTGATGACTTCCTGCCACTCTATGTCACGTACAGTGTGCTGTAAAACCTCTTGTCCATCAGAATTATTCAAACTCTAATGAAAAAGCAATGCTTATAGGCATAGGTTTATGTTTTGATCCTGGGAAGGAGTAACGTCAGTGGGGTGAGTGCGAGAGCAAGAATCCACGATTTCAGGCAGAGATTCAAGCTCTCGTTTCCAAATCAGCATGATTGGATAGACGTTCACAAAGACTGGCGTGTTCCGATGTTAATCACGACTTCGCCGCATTTGTTTCACGTTGAATGTAAACAAAAGACTTCTGACCGATCATTACCGATATTTACAATGACTGATTAATCATGCCTTGCTTTTCGGAAGAAATCAAGTAGGCCGTTTCTCTTGGGAGCACCTTCGGAGACGGAACTGTCTTAATTTTCAGAACAGGAACTTACTCTTAATAGTGATATTTTACTGTGAAGAAAATCATTCGATCAGTCAAGCGAAAGTTTCAAGTTCATTTTCGAACAAGGACAGCAACAGATTGAAGTTTTGGGCGCACAGAGGGTGAAATATGCATAGGCTGCACAGGCATATCTTCTTCTATATAAATAAAAATGGAAGGGTTTTTCCGTGTGTTAGAGGTAATCTCCGAAAGGTCTGTGCCGATTGTGCTGAGCTATTGATACAACGGTGGCCGCGCATAGGGCTGGGTTTTTTCTGCCTACCTTCATGTTAATGCAGATGGTATGTCTGTGATGGGTAAAAAATCGGATTTTTTCCGGCATAGCAACGCCACCTGCTGTGGCCCCTTGACCTACATCCGCTCAAACACACGTGCATCCCG